TATTTTTTTGTTTAACGGTATTTACTCAAAGATTTTATTAAAATGGTGTCATATAAGTTAATATAATATGATACAAATATACATTATTATAAAATACTAATAGTATAAAAAATTATATTAATATACCCTACTTAAATGCTAAAAGTAAAATAAATAACTTTAATAGCTATATCAAAAAACATATCATTTGATGATAAGGGTTGATAAACAATTTCCACTCAGAATCATTTTTCATATACAATAATATATCATTGAATTAAAATTTAACACACCTATAATAGTGACCCATTCAATATCTAATGTACAGCAGAACGGTATCTACTTCCTACTTTTTTTTTTTTTTTAATAATAGTTTTAAAGTTTAAATTACTAAAAAAAAATTTAACTAAAATCTCAATTTTCAGTCACAACAAATATTTTGTTTCAAAGTTATTAAACATAATGATAATTAAAATAACAGCTATTGCGTGATTAATAATAAAAGAGCTTGTTTCATAAATTATTTTATAAATTAGTTTTAAACGGATAAACAGAATTCTAACGGGTTTAATAGAATCACTTTGTGGAAGATGGATTACTTTCAAATTTATAGTTTCGATTGATAAATGGCTTCAAATAATAGGCCAAAATTTGATTTTAATTCCCATCAATAGCACCGACGATAAAGGTAAAGGTCATTCGGCTAATCGTTTCTAGAGAAAGAAAAACGAGGAGGAGAAAGTAAAAATGGAAGGATAAGATAAAGAATATAAAGATACATAACTAATAACGATACACTTAACATGTGAAAACTTTAATTGCTAGTAGCTTAACATAACTAACTCAGGAGTCAATACGTTCTTTATTTTAGAATTTAAATGAAGTTATCATAAATTTTGAGTTTATTAAGCAAGGTGTTTAGTTTTTTTTGTGTATCCATGAATTATTACACGCGGTTCGTTAACTTAAAATTTTTATTTTTCAGTATTAGATTACATATAATGTATAAAAAATTATTAAGCACTTATTAACTTAAATGTTTTGAAAATAACCTTTTTTTTATTTTTATTATTTTTATTACCTATACTACTTTTTATAGTACTGCAATTAAACGTGCACGATTTCAGTATAAGTATAATTTTGAACCCTATATTCTTTACTAGAACCTAATAAAATAAATTATTACAATAATCATAATAGTTATAAGTGAAACAGAAATCAGCTACAACTGTTATAAATGTATAATAATTAATAAAGTGTATCTAAAATAATGAATATATATTAATTTTTTAATATTAAACAAATATCTACTTTATTTTAATATTTAATTACAGCACAAGTGAAATATATTTTCAGTAAGCCTTTTTTTACAAAAATATATTTCTTTAAGTTTTATTATTCACACAATCAATAATTTTTATAGATCGTATACAACCCTTCAAAATAAAATTACACGGAGTGAATAATAACTTATCAAGTTTCTATTGTCTTTTCAAAATTTTCTCTGCAATAGGTTTATTCTCAGTTATCTTTTTATTTTTATGGAATCAATATTATTTTACAGTTATGACATACATACTTTCCCACATTCAATGTTTTTCGATAAATTTGATTTCACCATAAATCATATAAATTTGGATCATGCGTGTTAACATAATTTGAAAATATAATCCAGTCAATGAATTAATTTTTATATACATATCATGTCAATATTTTAGTTTTTTATTCAAAAGTTACACCATTTAAAGATATTTAAACATTGTAGGTATTGAAAAATTAATTTGAAGTAAATGAATGGTAATTATTAAAGAACTTATATTATTTATAAAAATTGAAGTTTACAGAAAAAACAATAAATATAACAGATAGTCAAACAACAAATTTCTAAAATTATAATTTTTAAATAACATAATACATGAATCTTAAATACTAATTTTATTTAATGATAAACATTATTAAATTTATTGTTCTATGATGTAAATGACTAAAATCAGTATTTAAAATAAAACATCCTGACTTACTACTCAAAAAGTGACCGCTGTCAATTGTAACTAATATCAGGTAGTTATTATTTTTCTACTTATAAAATAAATTACTTACTTATCAATATTTATGAAGTTTAATTATTACGTAGAGAAAGCCATGATAGAAAACTCTTATTTACCCTTAGGCAGTATTATAAAAACAGAGAACTTGGAATGTATAATAAACTATAATAATACTACAATGGCTATATAAACATTAAGACCTTTTACCTTTTTATCAATTGTTTTTGTTATAAATATATTTTAACTCTAACAATGTATCGGTTTATATGGTCTATCAATTTACTTGGCATTGTAAAAATTTTAAAAATATAATAATTATTTACTTTTCGTTAACTGGCCTTCTGTTTACAGATGAATAGAGAATAATGCTCACGATTAGTTTCGCAAACACGATAAATACAAAAATGAAACAAATGTGCCATGGTCACTATTGGTATCCAAGAAAAACAATACACAGTGAAAGCATATGAAGACGAATAAAGGGGAACTAATATTTTTAAGAATTCTATTTTAACTTTTAACTGTTTAGTATCAGATTATATATAATATAAGTTTAAGTGGTGAGGTCGGTCGTGATATTATTTGCACCATCCTTCCAATCACTTTATAATTTACTGTATCATACAATTTTTTTTTAGGATAATTTAACATTATCAGCAGTAAATTGATATTATTATTACAGTGACGTAGAACTTTAACAAATTTCAGATAGTGTATTGGAAAAATTCTACTGATTTAAAAAAAAAAACATAAGCACATACCTAAAATAGTTTAACAATATTAATTATTATTATTATTATTATGTTATATTAAACATAAAAATATAAGCTATGAGAGTAGGTACGTATTTTACCAATTGTACAGCTATAAGAAAAATCATACATAAATTACTTAATGAAATTTTAGGACACAATATTTATGTTCGAGAAATGTATATAACGTATATTTTAGATTCTGAATGAAGTGAGGATATAGACATTATTTTTACAATGATGGTTTTTGTTTTTTCGATCTTAATAATTTAGAGAAGAAAATGTGGTTTTATCTTCATATTGATAAATCGATTAGTGTTAAATCATTAATTTAACATAACCTAATCTTGCTAGAAGTTTCTAGTAGTAAATTTGATCAAAATAATACTTTATTCCAGTGAGATGGGTGGAGGGGCCGTAGCGCACTATTTAATATTTTCATCACTGTATGTAAAATCATTGAATTATAGATAAGACTTATGGGTTGCTGTGGTAACGTAATTTATTAGTGCATCAGTTGCTAGAGAAAACCTAGATACTGTAAAGCAAGATTATAACTATTTGCATTATAATTTAAATTTAAGATAAATACAAACTTTAAGTAAAACTAAAAATCTATCGCGGTAACAAAAAAAAAAAAGTTGTATCAAACCTAAAAACATATCTATATTAAAATTTTCAAAATTGATTGGCTATTTTAGACATAGTATGGAAATATAATACACAGTTTCTTGTAAGTTGTTTTTACAGCATGATAAAAAAATATTAAAAATATATACATTAGCATAAATTATAACATATAAATGTAGTGAGTTTAGTTTCAAAGGAAATTGGATATTCAAACCTAAAATGAAGATTTTTACAATTTTAGTTATTTAGTTGTTATTCAAAAAATATTGATCATAGATGCTTGAAATTGTTTACCATATTATTTATTATTATTTCAGTTTCTTGGTCATATCTACATAGATTTAGCTATTGTACATCGTAATTAAAGATATTAAAAATAATAGGTGAGATATGTACACACAAAAAGATCAATGACGAAATAAATTAATAAATCAATATTACGTATAAAAAAACTACTCAGAATATAATGAATATACAGATATCAGGGTTTCAACAATATCGTTTTGCTTTTATGATCAATGCACAACAGTGAATAAAAAAATATGATAAATATATACATTTGAAAACCATGATAAATCATCACATTCGAAAACAACTCTTAGAAAAGCTTGTTATATTTTAATGAGTATATATACTATGTAGGACTATAATATTATTAAAATTGTAATTTTCTCATAAATTATATATTAGGATTCTTAAAATCCAATGAATATAGAAATTAAATTATTAGTAACTATTGAACTGAGTAATAAAATCTCAATACCTAAAATTACAAATCGATTTCTTTTTTTTTTTATTGAACTTAAGCCCGGCAACTAGGGCCATTACCTGTTTGTAGGGGTTATGAAATATGGTAAGGGGTAAGGTTGTTACGGTAAGTTGTATTTTTGATTGATAGCAAACACGTGTATGTGTGGCAAGGTTTTTAACCACTATGATCCCGAATGGTCACCCATCCGGGAGCTAGTAGCTGTGACCGTTACTTACTCTCAGTCGCATTCCGCAACTGGTAGCAGCCAACGCGCCACGCCAAGCCACACAAATCGATTTAAAACAAGTCTAGAACCATAACTATTAACTATATAGAAAATTAAATCTTTTAACTATTTAAGGTTTAAGAGTTTAGTAATTAATAGATAAATTATTAAAAGAGGTATTTTACAAATTTCTTAGAGAATTTCAAATAAAAGCGGATATATCTGCTTATAACAGTTAAATAAATGCCTGCTTTTAATAAAATATTGTCTAAAAACCAATTAGAATTTTATTGTTTATATAATTCAACAATTTATTATTCCTGTCAAACTAAAAACTTATTATACCAAACTTTATACGTCTTCACTATTTTAAATTAAAAATACGATTTACTTCACAGATAGTTTTTAAAACATTGTAACGTAATAAAACAATTATAAAATGTATGTTTTATTATTTCACAATAGATTACACTTAATACACACTGATAAATACATATAAGCAAGTATTTATCATATCGTTCAATTAAAAATTATTAAAAATGAATAATTCAGTTTTTATAAATTGTTGTAAGGCACAACAATAAAATTAAAAACCTAATATTACCTAGGCTGGATTTAGTGCTCGACCGACGATCAGCGCTGACGTCGGTCGAACGTAGCTATATCAATGAATGCATATGAACAACTACAGTGTATCACTGATAAATTGCTACGCGCGTACAGCTACGTCGCGCTGACGAGGACCGTCGGTCGAGCGCGTCCGTCGGGCGTACGTCGGTCGACCGACGAGCTATTTTTAGCAATGCAAGAGTTTAGTTCTACGCTGACGACCAACTGACCGTACGCGCGTACACAATCTTTTTATTTTATTTTTATTAAGGCAATAATAATAATAATAACATTTTATTTTATGTAATTGTGTTGTAAATTGTTTATATTTGTTTATTATATTAATATAATTATAACAAAAAATGAACATCGATACCGAGCGTGTTATTTCTGAGGTGCATCTTCGACCGCCATTATGGGACCTATCTTGTGTATTGTACAAAGACCGTGATGCCAAAATAAAAGCTTGGCGCGAAGTTTGTCAAGCAATAGTACAAAATTTCGACCATGTGTCTGATAATGAAAAAAAAGTTATTGGTAAGTAAATAAAGATGTTATTTATAATCATTAAAAATATACTAATGAAAATCTAATTATATTCAATTCGATAGTACCTATTGTAGTATTTAAAAAACAACATAATTCTATTATATGAGTTAATTAAAGTTTTATTAGAGTAAATTAGTTATGTAAGTATAATAATATTTAAAAAAAAGCTCAATTTGTTTATATATATATTATAAATTATTAATAATTAAGGTATTATTATTAATGTAGATTGTATTATTAAAGTTAAAAGATACTAGCATCTTGCCACGATACACTTCCATCAGGAGAAACGAAATAATTGGCAAATTTATCCCTTATCATATCGCCTGTTCTAACAATATTATTGTTCATATTGAGTTGAAGTTCTTGAAACCCCTCAACAGTTAGTGTGTCTTCTACTCTGTAACCATCTCGTTCTCTTATGAAGTTATGCAAAACGCAACAAGCCTTTACGATTGTTATTGTATTCGGCAATGCAGTATTCATTGGTCTATGAAATATATTGAATTTATTACTCATTATTCCAAATGTAGACTCAATATACCTCCTTGCACGGCTTATTCTATAGTTAAAAATCTTCTTTTTTTTTGTCAAATTACTTCGTGCGTAAGGTCTTAAAACTTTGTTTGATATACCAAATGCAGAATCGCCGATTATCATATATGGAAGTGGTTCTGTAGTATTAGGTAGTGGTTTTGGTGGAGGTAATTTTATTTCTCCGTTATTTATTTTCGTAAATAAAGTGCTTTCCTTAAAAATAGTAGAGTCTGAGTCTGTTCCACATGCACCTACATGTATATAGGTGAAACGATAATCGGAATCGCACATGGCCAACAGAACAATAGAATAATATTTTTTATAGTTTGAAAACAAACTTCCACTGTGTTCAGGACAGATTATTCTTACGTGCTTTCCGTCAATACTGCCGATGCAGTTAGGAAAGTTTGCTATATTTTCAAAGCCAGCAGCGATTTTAAGCCATCCTTCTGTCGTATTCGGAATCGAAAGGCATTCTTCATGAAATAGATCCCAAATATTTGTACATACTTCTTTTATAATTCCACCGATAGTTGCCGTACCTAGACGGTAACTAAAATAAAGATCACTATATCTTTGTCCAGTTACGAGATACCTGAAATAAAAAATTAACAAATTAATAATTTTACAGAAAGGAATGTACAACAGCGGTGGAAGACGGCACGAGACGCTTACGTTAGGTGCAAAGCCACAATGAAGAACACAAAGTCTGGGTCTGCAGGTAGTAACAAAAAGAAATATGTATACTTTGATTGTATGCAATTTCTAGACAAAAAACATGTAATAGATACTGAGGATTCAATTGTAGAAAATCAGAGCACAATGGATGAATCAAATAACAAACCGACAACCAATGATGACGCTCTACCTTCAACGTCCAAAGACTCCAACTTTTGCCAACCAGAACAAACTACTGCTGCTGAACGGAAAAATATGCAAACAAAACGTTTTAAAAAGAGAACTCGTAATGAAGACGATAATTTTGATAGGGAAATGTTGAACATGTTTAAAGAAAATACAAAATTAATGCAAAACGATGACATGTCATTTTTTTGTTCACTTTTGCCGATTATGAAAACTTTTTCTAACCACCAAAAATTACTTTTCCGTTCTGCAGTTCTACAAAAAGCAATCGAAATATCTAGTAATTCTAGTGAAATCCGCCCGGGAACATCACATACATTTTCAACTTCAGAATCACAACATTCCGATGCTTCTACATCTTATATAACTGAAGTACCACAACAGTTTGAGGAGGCACTAGATGATGATTCAACATATTCTTTAGAGGATTTTGTTACTATGCAGAATTTGTAATAAAAAATATTATGTTGTATTATGAAGTATACCTAAATAATATAATGTCTTTTTATTATCTTTTAATCTCTAATGTCTTTTTTAATAAACAAAAATTTTTTTTAAATTAAAATTTGTTGAATTTTATTTTAAAATATAATAATTACCTTAAAGTCACGGCCAATCTTTCTGATGGTGACACAGGAATACGAAAAGTGTTCTGTCGCTTCAAAGATTCTTCAAGTTTTGCAAGCAGCTCGTCAAAACTTTTAATAGACATTTTGAAGTAATCAAAAAATTTTGATTCGTGATCTCGTAATTTTGAAAACAGCGTACAAAATTCCCCTTCAATTGGCCGGTCTACAATTACTGGGTGGACGTGATATCTTCTCCGTCTTTTTTTATTCCGTCGATTGCGTAAATAATACGCACATATTAATGAGTTAATAATGAATGGATTCATTTTAAAAGTTAAAGTTAACTAAATTAATTAATAACAAAATAACATACAACAACCGATCGAATTTGCCGTCGGCTAAGCACTAAACGCTCCATGACGACCGATGATCAGCGCGTACCGTCAGCGCGCACAATACGCGCTGATCGTCGGTACAGCACTAAATCCAGCCCTATAATCATTTTTGACACCTTATATGAATTTATTTTGCCTAGTTTAACAGAACAAGGAACTGAGATAGCAAATTAATAATATCTGTTCCAAGCTAGTTTTATAAATTAATGACTATAATAAGTAAGCTAATGGACATATGGTTGACAATTAAGTTACATTTTAAAATTAATAATAATTCCATAATTTTTTTTTAACACGTGAAATTTAAAATTATAATGTATTATATTAACACAGAATAATCAAAATTGTTAATTATAAAATAAATAAGATAAACCTTTCAATAATTAACAAGATACTTCATGTATTAATCTTATTTAGGATACACTATACACACATGATATTTATTATTTGTTATTACCAGCAATCTTACTATTTAATGAACTTTAATTTTTTTTAGCAATAAAACTTATTAATAGAATAAAAACTATGTACCCATAAGAAAAACATTAGTAGAATATTATTATGTCGAATCAACCTTGGATGAATGATACTTTTTAGTTTGTTCACACCATTATGTCATTAGTTTTTAGATAACATATGAACATTTTTTTGTTAAGTGTCAGTGTAGCTCTATAAGATTAATTAGAGAATACTTCATAAACAAAGGACATGGTAAATAATTTCAAGATTTAGACATAGTTAATAAAATTCTAATAAGCTTTAGATACTAATTAAAAAAATTCCTAAATCACATTAAAACAAATCCAACTTATAGATGGTTATAAAAACAAGCGATCTGTGTTAATTATAACAAATACGATTAATATAAGCACTTACAAGCATTAATTTAATTAATTTTATATTTAACATTAATATTAATATCATATCAATAAGTAGAAATAACGATGTATTAATCTTGGATATTTTACATTTGTACTTGTATTTTATTTTAAGAAACAGGAATAAAGTAAAAACTAAATTTAGTTTTTATAAGACAGGATAGCTGTATCCCGATTCAACACCTAATTTTACCTAAATTTTACCAAATTATTCAGTTAATTATTTTTCTTAATATAATCATTATTATTATAATAATTATTTATAAATAAATTAATTTTGTTTTGAATTAATTCATTTATAATTTTGTCACAGGTATACCTACTAATTATGTATATAATTTTCTATCGAATTTTGTTGACTGAAAACTGTTTTGTATAATTAAATAAAAAAATTTAATTAAAAAAAAATTTGGTGAAATGTAACGATAGCAAAATAAGAACTCACCGTGAATCAAATAATTGTACGAAAATTACATTTTTTTTTTTCATAAATATCTTCTATGAAAAACGAAATGTTAAAATATGAAATAATTTGATTAATAGTATTTACAAACGATTTATCTAAAGACGACATGTAAATTATTCTGTTTCAATCTATTCTATATTCAAATGATAGAATATACCAAGGCTATTTGAATAAATATTAAATTGAAATATTACCTTCTGAGACAAAATGAAAGATATATATATATGTTCTGTGGTCTATCAAAGACCAAATACGATAAAGATGGATCATAGCGTCTGTTTGCAATATATCGTCAATTAAATATCCTAACGTCACGACTAGTCGGTAAATACAAAATAGCACCTATGCGTGCTCATCATGAAGTATTTCATTGAGAAATTATTACGTCAAAACTCAAGATTGTAAGGCCATTATAATTTATAACAATATGCTATAAAGAATAATAATAATAAAAAAAACAACAACAACTCGTTTTTGTCGTGTATACAAAAAATTCATTGTAATTTAACGTAATAATTGTATATAAGTAACTAGTAAGTGATTTGATGATCATTAATTACAATAAACGTATAGTATCATAATAATATACCTGTACACGCTCTCGTCATAATAGAGAAGAATTCGCAGCGGCTGATTCACACTTCTTTTTCTCATTATGTGAGGTGATTCAATGTGCACTCCATGTATTACCTGCAATAACAATAAAAAATGAATAAAAAAATATATGTATTAACATAACTAAGCATAATTTATAATGATTAAAAAGCAATTTATATAATTAACTATACTATGATCTCATTCAGTGAATATAATCACTTAAAATAATTTATTGTAAAAACACTTAGGTAATATGAAACAATTAAATAAATAACTAACGAAAAACGATTTTGATCAGAGACAGTTGGTCTGTAAATCTATAGTTTTAAGAAATTTGTTACTATACATCTATATATCTATATTATTATTTATATTACGCAGTATAAGTTAATAAATAATTGGTACCAAAAACAAATTGCAAGATTATATAACTATTATCGTAAGATTATTTTACATCACTTAAAAAATATAATTATGTATAATAAATAATAATATACCCAGTACTAAGAAGTAATAAATTCCTATAAATAATATTTTATAAATTATAACAAAATAGTTAAAATTTTTATTTTTTATTTAAGTATCCAATTTCTTAAAAAGTTAAATACCAAATGTATAATGTATAATGATTAATGACATGTATTTTAAATATTTTTAAATTTCTATAAGAATGAATTATGTGGAACCTTATAATATATTTTCAAAAATTTTAACCGAACATAACAAATTTTACATATAACTATTACATGATTATTCTTAAAAGTAGTGAGATTTTTTTTTACTTTTACCTCTCAAAGTACCAACTAGATTCAATTTTCTAACGTAATTTAGCCACAAAGTAGAAAATTTAAGCATGTTTACTATTCCAAAAGGTATATCTTCTCTACAAGCACAAAACAAATAAACATAAATGTAAAAAAAACAAGTATACCATAGTAAAACCAATATATTCAGAATTTAAAGCTTATGAAAATGATTTCATTTAAAAATTACTTGAGCATTATTTTAAATAAAAACAATATTATAGGCGTATACTAATACACTACATATTAATTATTTTAATAACCTTATAAGCCATCTTAGTATTATAATATTAGTTATAGGTACATAAGTTTATACCGTCTGTTTTAATAGATATTGGGTTTAATAATGGATTATATATTATTTTTTAATACATTACGAAAACAAGCAAATACATTTTCACAGAACCGTTTTAGAAATTAAATAAATATACAGGTATCTAATTAGGAGTTAAATTTAAAGGACCCAAATTATACAATACAATAAACAAAACAAAAAAAAAAAGAAATCTCATGTCGCATAATATTTCGATATTTGGTAGCTAAGTAAAATAAAAAATGTATAATCTAACAGAAAGATTTCTTTAATCTGCGTATTTATTTCCTATTGCTTATGCAGAATTGCAGTCAAGGTAGATTAATTACAGATTAATAATAAAAAAAAAACTAGGGAAGTCACAGCAGGTCTCGAGTGTATCTCGTCATTGAGTAAACTCTGAGAGTACTATTGTGTTCAATTGGAATTCATTAACAAATTATCGCATACCTACGAATTCAGATGTGAAGACGTCTCATCAGTCTATACTATTCCTATTATTTCTAAGGATATCATTTAGTTTATATCAATAATAAAATATTCCATTTCTATTAGTGATATAGTAACTTAGTAAATAAACATTATATAATACATTATGAATGTTATTAACTTATAAATCTGTACCAACTGTAAACTGCTAAGAATTTATAGATTAGTGGTCTTAATAGCTTAAAATTTATTTAAATATTTTGACAGTTATAAAATATAAAGAAAATGTCTTTGAATAATATTTTTTTATATTGCAACAAACTAATTAAAATCATTAAAAAGATCGTTCATTCTCATAATCTCATTTAAATATCTCATTAAAAAAATAAAAAATATTTCTGTAGTAAAAACCATTATATTCATCGCTCCAATCAAAATCTAATAGATATAAGTATTTTGTAGTTTTATTGAATCCAGCGTATTTCTATGAAAAACAAATTTCTGGAATTATAATGTTTTTAAATAGGTAGAGGTGCTTACACTTCCATAAATTAAATCAAGTAATTAAAAGTATCGTTACTGCAATTTTATATCTGCCATATAATATCAGAAAGTTGATATTACAATATTTTGAACTATAACAATACAAACTATGTTATTTAATAAATATTATTATGTGAGTAGAATTAATAAAAAATTGTTATTTTTCTATACTTATAGGTAAATTGTTATTAAAATACACTATTTATATATACTACAGCATTGTGCGACTTCATTATATCTAAATCATATATAGTGTATTATGTACTCAAATTACATTTTTATTTAATCTGCTTTTTATAAATTAAATTATATAATATTTATTCATAGAACAAACACAATACTGTATGTAAGAAACGATTGCTATATAAGTAGTTAATTGAAATACAATTCAGTTTTGTAATTTCGTGTAGTTTACTAATTTTTAACCACTTGAATTAAGTTTGATAATAATTATATCCAAAATATAAAATAGATTATAAATATAATAAATATAATTTTAATAATTGCATACATGATATATATATATATTTACATAATTATGTTACATGAACGGTCCGGGAGCATAATATTATAATTATATTATGTATGCACACCCGGTTACCTAATACTCTATTGCATACACCTACCACTACGGCACTATGGACCAACTAGTGCTTGTATTGTATTCAATATTTATATCTAATAAAATGAAATTTTTAATTTATAAAAATGCTACAATATGATTACTTGATCCTATAATACAAGTGCGTAACAAGTAAATTTGCGTTTAACAGTTTACGTTTAGTTTTATTATTCATAATATAAGAGTGAATTTAAACCTATTATTAAATTTTAAAGTAACATCATTAACAATTTTTATTTTTGGTTTTTTAATATTTTAACTTTAAATCGAGTTTTACGTGATAAGTAAAATATTGTAAATGAAAAATACCAATAAGTAAAAACACGGTATCAGCAAGCACTTAGTTACCATGTTAATTAAATAATATGTAATATATATATAGTAAATAATAATAATAAAATATCTATAATCAATGACCAATGCGCATTAGCCTACAATGCAAATTAAAAAAGTTTTTTTATTACACCTGACTATTGAATAAACTTATCTAATGTGCATTAATGATAGCATATAAACGTGATAAGTGTAACATAAAACCCTTTCAATACACTAATTCTTATTAATTTAATTTAATTATGACTGTTAAAGCATAAAAATTAGTTGATAAAGTATTAAATTGAACTATTCTATAAGTGGATAAATATATAAATATTATGTTCATATTAGTAACGCTTTGAGGTAATCCGTGAAATTGTGTATTAATATAAATAGTCATGGTTTTACCTAGCTTATTGTTTATATTATTTTTTAGAAATCAAAAATTTAATACTATTAAAAAAAAAGCATTTTTTTTTTTTATAATTTCATAGCTATTAGTTAATATTGTGGTCAATAATACAAATTCGACAATAATCGTATTTCGTGCGTTGCACTTGACCCCCTATAATAGCTATACATAACAATAATGAAAAATTATTCAAAGTTACTTTCATCTTATTATGTATTGAATGCTATTGCCTATTATATTTATTAAAAATAACAGTTTATTATTACAGTTAAAAATAACCAAATTTTGAAAAAACTTAAAATAAATAACCAGCTTACTAAAAATCATTTTCAGGCAATTATATTTTAAATATAATAAGTAATACTTATAACAAAATATTGTTGGAATTTAAATAATAAAAATGTTTGAAAATAGACCATTAAAGAGTATAATACTTTGTTAATATTTCTAGTAAAATACATTTAATTTATATAATAACTAATAAGTTTGTTATTTTTAAGTTGAAAAAATAAAACATGAAACTAATAAACTCTATAGGTACATAAATGGATACTATGTAATGTATCTCTGCATATATAATGTATGTGTATATATGTATATATAATATATATATATACACTATATATACATGAATTGCAATAACTATGTGAATTTGGGATCATATTGTATATGTGATTGAAACTAATTGATGGAGACTGGAAATACACTAGTTGAAACTTTATTTAGTTACATTGTTGACTTCCTATACGTAATGCTCCACCGAACCGTGTCTAATATACACATATTACGTGTATATTTTTATAATGATAATTTGTTTTTACCTATAAATTACTCTAAAATTAAGTCAGAAATTGTGACATGTCTGTCGTGATATTATTTATTAGTAATGAAATAATATATGTAAATTATATCATTATTTATTTGACATTACGTCAAGACTGAAAAAACAATACAATTTGATATTTAAACAAAATTAAATCGTTATCTATGATGAGTAATAAAATAGAACAGCTAGAGTGTAAAAAGTATATTAAATTTATTATTTTTTATAAAATCTGTGAATTAAGATTCTAAAAAATGGAACCAAACTATTCATTGGAAAATAGTCAAAGACTCACATACTGAAATGTGTACCCCAAATATTGAATTTTTTTAAGACAAGTTATGAGAGATAAAAAAAAAAATAAATACTTTTTTTAGATAATAAGCGAACCAGTATAAAAAAATCACGCTATAAATTAATTTTAGAACTGAATTTTCAAATAATTATTTATAAATATTATAAATGGAATGACATATTACTATAAATGACGCATATATTTTTATTTGATATTTGATATTTATTTATTTTTTGTTTTACATAGAAATGTTGGTTTATAGGAATAGATTTTACTAATAAAATCCTGATAAGAATTATGGAGATTTATAACAATTAAAAGTATGAAAATAATATATAACCATGTTTTTTTATCATTATTATTATTTCAATGAATAAAAAGTTCAATACTAATGAATTAATAAAATAAGAAATAAACAATTTTCTATCAACGTGATTTAGACTCAAAATTAATTTATTCGGTCGTGTACCTTCTGGAACTATGCCATACAATTACGCAATTTTTCAATTGTCCATTACAAACCGTTATACGGAGATTC